TAAATTGTAAAAAACATTATTATATTATTTTTGATATTTTTAAGTCAAAAAATTAGCCAAATAATTACAAAACTAAATATGGTAGAAAATAAAATTTATTCTTTGAAATCATAGAACACTTAAAAACATTATACTTAAAGATGAACCATTTTAATATACAAACAAATAGAACGCTTAGCGCAAATTTAAACCCGAAAAATTAACATCAAAAGAATAAAACGAATTTTTTTGTCTACTGGTACTTCTCTATTCTGTGTGTTTCGGTAAAATCAGTTATTTATCAGTTTTTAAAACAAATGCCAAGTCAGGAACATCAGGAAAAGAAAACAAAATCTACATAGACTTTCTTTTTAAATAACTAACATCATATTCCATAGTTTGAATTCCTAAAACTTCAGCCACATAGTAGACTACGTCTTTGTTTCCCTGAAATTCAACCAATACAAAATCCTCTATGACAGGATCTGTAGTCAGCGGACCTAATTTTTTTTTTTTTACTAATATCCCTTCATCCGAAAAGTCATCACTTAAGTCGTCACTTTCCAGGATTACTGAAAGTTCAGATTCCGATGAAGAACTTTGCTGAAGCACCTTTCTGACCTTCTTTATTCATCCCTTGGCTTTGTCTTTTTTTATTTCTACTCTACTTTGTTTCTCCATTTTAGTCTTTGCAATTTCTTCTTTTTTCGGGGTATCGGTTGCAATTAGACTTTTTCCCTTTTTTCTGGTCTTGCTGATAGTTTTTTGGGTTGAGCTTTCAGAGGTGGTCTAAAGTTGGAAGGTGATACGAATGTTTCTGTAGTCTGCTCTTCTGGACTTACCAGTAAAAGATTAGCAGGTGTATTTTCACGCATAGCTTCATTTTCTTCTACCAAAATATTCGAAGGACCAGCTTCATTGATGCTATTGTCAAAAAGTCTGTCTGTAATTGAACTTGGTAAAAAATCAATCTCTCTAAAAATAGTTTTATGAAGCGGAAAAATTCGTGTCTTTTTAAAGGCATTCGTGATAGATTGAGGTGTTAGGGCCTTTTGATATGCTTCGCCAATGAAGGCAACTGACTCATAAATGGTTACGGGTTGGCCTGGATGACTAACTAACCACGATTTCATACTCGCATTGTAAAATGTCTTAAATGGTTTAAATTAAGCTACATCAAGAGGTTGCGTCTTGTGTGAAGAGTGGTGTGGTAACGTGAGAATGGTAACCCCATTTCATTTAGCCATTTCTAGTGCCTTAACTGACAAGTGGGACTCGTGGTTGTCAAATATTGGAAGAGATGGATTTTCTTTAGAGGAAGAACTATGCTTTATAAAATGTTTGATGACCTCGGGAAACAATTCAGAGTTCATCCAGCCATTTGGTGCTGCTAGGTCTAAAGTTCCAGGAGACGTTCCTTTAGTCATAAAATGTTTGAAATTTTTTCTAGGAAAAATTACTTCTGATGAAAGTGATTGTCTAATGGCGCAAACTATAGCGCATGTTGTAGTTAATGTCCCCTTTTCGCCATTACTTACTTTGAAAATACATCTTATATCTTTGGGTGCAATCACTTTTTGGGGTTTTTGTACAGTCGTCGTCGCCGTTTCATCCAAGTTGTATACCCGAGTGCCATCTGCAAAACTTGATTGTCGTTTCAAAACATTTTCAAGGTTTTCAAAGTATTTTTGAACGTTCATTCGATTGAACTCTGAAGCCCTTGCTAAACTACAAGGCTTCGAAGCTCTTACAGTCAATTCTGGATGTCTTCATCGGAAAGATCTTAACCATTCAACTTCAGCAATTTTTTCTCGTTCCCAAGAATTTGGAAATTTTAACTTATTGATTGATGCTGTCTCGTAAGCCAATTTCCGACAATCCATGTTCGTCAAACCAGAAAAGTGATAGGCACTGTCTTTTAAATATTTAATGAGTGTTTGTTTTTGTTCTTCATTAAATATTTGGTTTACAGTATAGTTAGGGACAAATCTAACATTTTCAATATTCTCCAAATTGATTGTTTTGGCATAATATCGTCTTAACGTTGGATAAGATAGTGAGTTTATTTTTGCCGCCTTTCTAATGCTGTAGCCATTTCTGATAAGCTCAAGAGCGGCTTTCGTTTGCTCTTTTGTAAATTTGGCTATTTTTCTTGGATTCTTGGATCTAGCCATACTGAAAAAAAAATCAAATAATGTACCTCCGCATTAATGTGGTACACAGTGAATCAGGTTTACTGTGTACTACACCATGCTGGTTCACTGTTAGACAAAGTTCGTTAGAAAACATAAACATAATTGATATCTATATAAAGGACTTGAAATAAAAGAATTTTGAATAATATATAATCTAAACATTATGACTTTCACTGTCAGGTATAGCCATGAACAAAAACGTACGTTATGTTTTGCTCAGGAACAAAAAACAAAATTTAAATTTTTTTTATTTACGTACCTGTATTTCTTCGATTATATTATCACCACAACCTATATAAAGAACTTCATGCTCCCTACTGAATGGTCAAATGAAAGCTAACAACATATGGCTTCAAATTCCCCCTTGCGTTCATTTTTAAAACTGATACGTTTGCCATTATGCCGAATGATTCACTGTGTACCGTGGTTCACTGTGGGACAGTTTACCCTACTTGCTAGTTTCATTTCGCCAATCGTATATTACAACTACTTCTCCAACCCTAAAAACAGTACCATACTTTTAAAACATATCCAAATATTCCTCCGGTTCCAGAAATATTTCTTTATTTTTAATAGTATTTTCGTTGTGCCCAAAAACCCTGTCTAGATACATAAAGAAGTGTCCTCTAACTGGGAATACCACTTCAATTTTTTTTAAATTTTATCTTGTCTAGAAAACCAGTGACAACACATAGATGTGAGTGAGGTATTTTTGTTCTGGCCTCCGCATCCATCACACATGGGCCGAATTGTATGAATGTCGTCTTTAAAATCAGTCGACTGAAGAATGAGATAAATGCAGAAGGCAATCTCATTTAAACTCTTCTTGTACTCGTTTTCGGTCCAACAAAAAGAAATGACAGTAACTGGATTTAAGTTACTTTTAGAAGTCCCCTTTACAATGGTAAAATTGTTATTATAAAATAGCCTTGAATAATAGGCCTGTTGTTCCGGTTTCTTAGGTAATACTTGATTTTTTTGGCAGTTAAACGAAAAAATTTCGATTCCTTCATCCTGTTCTCTTAACAGACGATCATTTGGATCATTAAGTTGGCTTTGACGTCCTTATCAGAGTAAGCTTTTATTTTCTCTGGTAACTGTAAGCATGTCGAACAAACATCGGTTCTAGGAGAACCAAAACCAAGGATGTATTTTTTATTAAAAGTATTCCTGCCATAGCTTTCTTTTACTAGAACGTTTTCATTTTCCTTCACACACATTCTCGTCATTGACTTTATATTTAAAGAATCCAGGTATAGTCGCTAACTCTGTCCTCTGCAATAATGAGATTCAATAACATGAAATTTTTAAAGAGTAAAACCAAATTTGGTTTTACTCTTTCAAGATTAAATGGATTTTCATCAAGTAAAGGCCGAAACAATAAATAACATGAAATTTGTTAATAACATCCATAACAGCATTTTTCTTCGACTTGTAATTTTCCAGCTTTCTATCGCCTTCACGATTTTCCTCTGCAGGTTTAGGAGTTTCATCAAAGTTCTTTGTTACTGTGTCAATTCATCTCCGTGTTGTACACAAAACCGTGTTTAAAATTCTTAGATTTTTTCGGGCGTTCACGGTGTATCGGAAATGTTTGCAATATTTAAGCAAAATATTTTGTTTGTCTGTTAAACTTTTGAATTAAACTTTCTTATTTCTCCCATTGTCAGTAAGGTACATTAAAAAGCACCAGTTTTATATCCACATTTCGAATAAATTGGAAGCGAATGTGGACTTTATCTAAAACAAACCCATCTTTTCAGGAAGATATACAAAAACCTTCTATCAAACTTATCTAATTTTGTTTACGGAGTTCTTTTTTACGTCGCCGTAATACGTTGTCTTTTGCTTGCTTTATTACTGGTTACTGGAGTAACGTTCACCTCCATTATTACTTTAAAAAACTCGTGAAAAATTGGAAAAAACTAGTAAACAAACTTTACTTCTTTACGAATTACATGCAACTAACGTAGAAACGTAAAATCAGACTGGTTTTAGCGCGAAACATTATTGCGAAGTATGTACAAGAGTTTGCACACTTTGTAATAATTAAAAACTAACACCAAAAATCCACTGGAGATTGTACACATTGATTTTCAAAATCGGATTGGAGATTGTATGGTTTGAAACTTAAATGTCAACGGAGATTGTACGTTTTGAATTTAAGTCTAATTTTCTGTCGTTAAAATTCGTTGGAGATTATCTGTTTTGAAAAGAAATTATAAAATATTTCGATTCAGGGCTACAAATTCTATGTAACATATGTTACTAAAGTTTTCGGAAAAAAGTGATGTACGATTTGTTTTATTTTAAAACCAATTTATCTATATGTCTGTGGAAAAACAAACGCAGGTATACGTTGTTGATTTATTTGACATTTCAGTTTTGTGTTTTGTTGGCATCATGGCTTACAAATTGGAATTAAGACGAGGCATTTATAACTTAGTTGGCAAAATGCTGAAAAAAGAAATTGTAAATATTTTTTGAAATGAAAATATTTTAGTGTCGACAATTTATCAAGCAATTCGTGAGTGTGAAGAAGGAATACCGGGTTCTAATTTGCCAAAAATTGGTCGAACACGGAAATTATCTGCAATTCAAGCCAATAGATTGGTTCAAGTCGCCAAAAACACCATTGGTCCATCCACACGAAAGTTAGGTCTTTGTTTTGGCATATGTCGAATGACCGTTAGTCGCGAATTCAAAAGAAATGTCTTAAAATATAGAAAACGAAGAAAATGCCCCAAGTATACCGTTAATCATTTAGAAAGAATTCCAAGATATTGTTGATCTTTACGAACTCGTCACTTCGTCAAAATTATAATTATGCACGATGAGAAATACTTCACATTTGCTAATCCGGAATTTCCTGGCAATAGTGAATTCTATACAGATAATTTTAATGACTGTCCTGATAATGTGAAATTTAAAGCGAAGGCAAAGTTTGAGGAAAAATTCATGGTGTGGTATGAAATTTCAGAAGCAGGCGTTTCTAGACCGTATGTGGGTCATGTTCGAGGTCAGGCGGTTGATGATAATATTTATACACAAAATTGTCTTCCAAAATTACTGGATTTTATTAATTTATATCATGCTAACGACGAAATAATGTGTTGGCCTGACCTAGCTTCATGTCACTATGTCCACGCAACAAGACAGTGGTTAGAGGTAAACCACATACCATTTGTGCCCCGTGAAGACAACCCTCCTAACGTACCCCAGGCTGCACCGATCGAAACTTTTTGGGCATTACTTACAATGGATGGGAAGCCCAAAATCAGGAGCAATTGAGGAGAAGAATCTATCAGAAGGTACGCGAAGTAGACTTGGAAGCTTGCCAAGCGCTTATGAGGCAAGTCAGAACGAAACTGCGCCGCATAGAAGAACACGGGCCACTATCTCTGTATTAATTATAAGTTTTAAAGCTTACATTATATTAAGTATTGTAGTGATAAATAGTTTAAATAAAACTTTCTTAAACCACAGTATTGTGCATTCAATTTTTTTCCGAAAACTTTAGTGACATATGTTAATGTGACATCTATCTTTTATAAAATAGGGAGATTGTACAATTTGAAACTATACTCCTCAGCAGTAGTATAATATAACGGAACCAATGCATGATGAAGTTAAATTTGTTATTATCAAAAATCCTATTATATTCCAGATCGTCTAGAAAAGGTCAGCTAGTAAGGGAAAGAGAGGGTTCCCATTGATAAATCATGTGGTGTGTTAAGCAAAAATATTTTGGTTTTAAATTTTTATTAGTACCTAGACAGAACGAAAAAAAGGGGTATCTTTTTACTTTTCTGTGAAAAGTAGTACAACTTTATTTACACTTCTCCACTTTTGGGAAGTAGATGAACATGAAACCTAAAACAATATGGTCTGATATTAATACCAAATTGAAGGGATACTACTGTCTTCAAAAATTTTTGTTATAGTGGCTTAAAATTCTAAAAAATAAGTGAAAACTAAAACTTATTAGATACCCTATCCGAATAAACTGGAGAAACGGAGAGAATTGCTTTTTTTAATTTTTTACTATAGGTATTTCTTTAGTATATTGATGAAAACAAATGCACAGTGAATGTTTTGTTCCAGTACATTTATATATTTTGTTTTCTATTATTTTTATATACATATTACAATGAGTTAATCATTGTAAGGTGTTAAAATAAAAATACAATCAAGAAGACATAATATTATTCAATAAAGTTAATAAGAAAAAAATCTCTTATTATTTTATGATTGCACCCTGTATATGGGATTTAAACAATTCACATATAATGAACCATTTTAAAAAACAAATCACTTTAAAAATTATAAAACATTTAAAGCATAAAAAGTTAAACAAAACATTAATTAAATTGAAACGGAAAACATCTTCATTCAAAGGAATCATGACAGACTATCTCACTGGGAGAAATTTATGAGTTGAAACTGTGATAATTTGTTAGTTTGAATATATTTCTCACAGCATAACATATAAAAAGACAACCATAGTAGTGTTGGATATTTTTACCAGTAAATCAAAAAAATGATGTTTTTACAATATTTGACATTTGGAAACTATGCGAATAAATTTTTCAAATTATAAAAATCTAACTAATTTCTGGTGGCAGGGGATAAAATAGTAGTGATATTATGCTCTTATACCACTATAAGACATATTGGAATATTTTGGGGCTCATTTTGTCACATTTGATATCATTGAAAATGTACCATTAATTAGCAGTAGAATTTTATATTCAATTGTCTATTTTAGCATATTATTATAGGAAGTGAATCTTAATTCGTAAGGGGAATTTGTGAACATTTTAATAACAATAAGTCTTTGCTAAAGGGTATTCTGAGAGAAATATGTGTAAAATACTCATCAGATAGTTCAAAAAAACATTGATTTATGCTAAATGTCATAAAAGAACACTGTTTGGGGTAATATTAATTATATAGAGAAGGTTGTACATTAGTTTTAAGCATATTCGGCAGTTCCTAATCCAAAATTTATCCTTTTTATGAAATTCTAAGTCCTAAAGTGAGGTTGGGAGTGACAATAAAAGTCAAAATTAGTATCATTTTGACGGTCCTAAGGGTAGGATCGTTAAATAAGCTCTGATCGGCAATTGTTTTAATTGCAAGAGCCTACCAAACATATTTGATTATTTTTAAAAGGTAAAATAAAAAAGTTGGAGGTTGTCAAACTGACTGAAATAGGCGAAATTTTATTACTTACCGAAAAGGAATAAACAGGAGAGCCCTGTTTTTTTTTAAGCCAATCGATGATGGGAAAGAAATAGCGAAGCGAAGTGACATATTCCTGAAAAATAATTATCAGTGAGGTGTTCTTTCATGAAGTAAGATTAGTTGTAAACACTATTGATAAATTTCCACTTACTTGCTTCATAGTCAATTTTATTTGAAGTGATTTAAAACACATAAAAACTTTTTCCTGCCTAACCAAGCACATTTCTTTTTGTTATTTATAAAAATTCCTAACCTCACTTGATGACAGACAAGTTCTGAATCTGGTACCTTATTGGTGTTACCAACCGCGATAACTGTTCTACTGAGGATATTTAAATAGGCAACATCTATTACTAGGATAGTATGATTAGCGTTTCAAAGGTTTTTGAGTATTTTCATTGTATTTATCATTTAATTTAAGATATTTTTCATTCATTTCCATCTCATCTAATTGATTACAAATTACATTATTTCTCTTTTATTGATTATATCTTATTAAATCTGATTTCCTTGTTTTATTGAAAAGAGTGAGCAATCTGTGAAGTCGCAACCTACACGCCCTGAGAAAAAGAGAGATCTCATGCTGGACAAAATTAATTAAATAAATATAAAAGATAAGTATTATTTTTTTTGTTGTAAAAATGTTCATGCTCATATCTATTTTCATTATATTTTCATTTTCATTATATTTTACAAGAATTATAAATCATTGTAATATAAATTTATTTTTATTTGGGCATATATTATTTATATTTTGTATGACTGCTTTTGTTTATGACCGCTTTGCGTTTGTTTATATTAATATTGCATAATTTTCATATTTAATTACGATAAAGGTTTACTTGATTCATATTCCTCCATTTCCCCCTATTCCAATACTCAACCATCCTAATTATATACTTTGGACCCTTTTTTTGTTCTTCACCGATTTGGAAGACTGTCGAACTGCGAAACAGAACGAAAACGAAGGCGATCGCGTTAAATTGTAGACTATACAGTTTAAAATTGATACGAACCGGCAAATTTTTTGAACCTTTTATTTACCTCGCATTGCGCGACTTCAAAGGAAGTTTCATTCCCAGGACATAAGGAAGACGATTGCCCTTCCCTCCTATCCGGTAAGTTAGAGTAAACCTTTAATTTGTTCATTTACTTCTTTTTTATTTCATTTTTTTTTTTTTTTTTATAAAAATCAACACTAAAAGGTGAAACATTAAATTTATGAAATCAGCGCCCCTATCATTACAGTCCGGAACTACTAAGAAAATAATTATATAATTTTGGATATATAATATTCATTCAATTTTACTATAACTTTTTCAGAAGCTAGTTTCGAAACAGTAAATAATAAATTTAAACCTAAAAACTGACTTAATTTTACCATCAAATATCAAAAACACATTTCACTAAAAATAATTGAATTCCTTTTTGTAAAATTTGGAGTACGGCTTTAATTAACACTTTCCAAATTATTTTCATAAAGTCACAGTGTATGTAATCAAAGATCTCTGTGAATAAGGCAACATGATTATACAAACATACGAAACGACTAATCCAATTCCAAAGAGTAAAGGTTTAAACAAGAAGATTCTATCTCACTGAAATTATTCACGTTGTTTGAAACCCTAAGTAGGGACAATATTTCAATAACTTTGGCGGTGAAGATGATATATTACTAACAAATGATGTGCTGCAACTTTAAACCATGCTATAATAATTACGAATGCTTAAACAAGAATAGAACATAAATAGGATAGAGTTGTTCCGTCATTTTTTATTAATAAAGTTCACATGGATATATTTAAGTTCTTTTGTCTCATCCCTAGATTGACAGCGTTATTCAATAGTTCTTTGTTACCAGTAATACATCAATTTTACGTGTTCGTTTTAAAGAAAAGAAAACTGAAATGATTATTTATCCAATTAATTAAAACTTATTGCTTTACTATTTTTTAACATTTATTCTGATTCTCACCACATACCTAAAAATTTTATGCAAATCACACACTTTATTTTCGTCATTAGTTTTTTGATGTAAGGATACATAAAAATACTTTTGAACATAGTTTTTGTGAATTTCATCCCACTTTGTAAGTATTATTTTAAATTGACGTCTTATAGTTTCCACAAATACGTGAATAAAACGTACATAGGAACCTTTAGGTTTTAGGATTTCATCGAGATAAATAATAAAGTAAACAGTGATAAAGTTTGAATACATAATAACTGTATAACTTATAAAAAATGAATGAGACAAGTTAAAATCGGTAAAGAAAATAATTATTCATATATAAATGAAATTCATGCCCAGCAACCGAGGTTGTCAGGTTATAGACTGGGTGAGCATAACCTTTGCCTTTCACTATCCATACCCACACAAAAATGTTTGGGAAATATTTCAAAAATAATACAATAAAATATTTGTAATGTAAAAATATTAAGAAGCGTCCCAGAAACATTTCTGAAATGTACCTGAAATGTAAAAATGTCCTGTAAATTTATTATTTCACAGTGTTATTTCTGAAATAAATATTTCACATCTTTCAGAAATATTACATAGTAATTGTTCAGAAATGTACTCTAATTTTGGTGTCATAAATTTTATGAATCGTTGTAGAAACTTTTCTAAAATATTTCTAAATAAATCAACGCCATATTACACTGTAACGTGACCGACTGGGCAGTGGAAGAACACAACCCATCTGTCTATGTTTGGCAAATTGTCAAACACATTGTAGACGACAATTAGACGGCCAATATCAAGGACACGACGGTTTATATCCAGCCCTACTTCAGTGGGGTCTGATAGGACTCACATTGCACCTGGTGGGTATATTGAAATCCCGTTGGCTTTCCAAAAACTGCATAGAGGTAAAAGTGCTATACATACCCAAACCTGGAAGGATAGATTACACTGTCCCAAAAACATACCGACCAATTAGTCTGACATTGTTTTCCATAAAGACATTGGAAAGGCTATGCAAAAGGTTCATAAGGGATGCGGTGATTACAACAACACCACTACACCCAAACCAACATGCGTA